CCCCCCCCTGCAGGCGCCCATCTTTGAGGCAAAATTCTTGTTCTCAGGGGGAGGACTGAAAGATATAAAAATTCTTTTGTTCCCCAATCTGTACGAATTTCCCAGCGAGCGCCCCCTGAATTTACAAATTTTAATGAGAACTAATAAGTCCCTGATATGGCTAAGAGAATTCACTGAATGGCTGTTTTTTTCACTAGTGAAAAAATTTATTGTAGATGTCTTGTGTTCAAATTGCTTTATTTATGTGCTGAAAATGTATCATGCAATCAAAAAACAATTCCATTTTTTTGGATCAATAAAAGAATCTTATCTTAATTGACATGTTCTATGCCAGTTACATCAATGACTTGTTTTACGCCTGATACTTCAATGACTTGTTCTATGCCAGGTACATCATCGACAATGGAATGAATTCTTTGAAGTGCAATGATATACTATTTATACTCCCAAAGTACAAAGGATAAAATAAAAAAATAAAAAACAGGGAAGGATGCCATCATTGTCTTTAATTAAATTATTATTTCAAAGTGATGAGTTGACCATTAAGCTCATCTCAATAAGGTAACAATCATTTTAACAGTAGTTGCATATTATGGGATTTATTAACAACAGAATGAAGAAGAAAACAACAACCTTACTGATGTAGCACATATTCTATAATGTAATGTCTGTGCTGAAAATTCTATCAAGATTAAATGTATAGTATTTTTAATCTGGTCAACTTATAGAGACGAGTTTCTCTTTTACATCAAGGCAGATAATGTGGCAGCAATGACTTTGACCACTACTCAGTGGCTCCTATAAGTTTTTAACAAATCTGATGTTTTACAATATAAAATGATGACTCTGTGTTGAAGAAACAAAAAAATAAATATCAGGTCTACAAGAATTGTTTGTTTTTTTATCAGGTCGAGACAGTGACGGGCCAAAATGGTTGAGTGACCCCAACACTCATTTGGACTTGATGATTTTATCAAAAGTACTAACTATATTTGTAAATAATAAAGACATATATTATTTATCTTACATGGGGTTCCTTGTTGTCTAGCCTGTGGCAACACTGCATATACCTTATATTAACAGCCATTTAGTGATTTTCATCATCAAATTGTTCAAGGTCATCATACGTTATAGTGTCTCTTTCATTCTTGTTCTTTGACAATACAAATATGTTCTTGATTTAAAAGTAAGACACCTGTTTTGAATGTCTGCTGCTGTAAACAATGGAATGTCTCGTGTATTTAACCTTGTTATTTTTGCAGAGATTGATTTAAGATGTATTGATCATTTTATCTTGATGAAATCTGTACTTATCATTAAAGTGACACACTATTTACATTGTGAAATTCCCCTTGAAGAAATGTAATCAGTTGTATTGATGTGAAACACAGCACACCTCACAAAACCATGGCAAAGTTGTCAAAAGCCAATATAGGAAATAGCTATGGAAAATGAAAAAAAAAACCCAACAAAACATCTATTCATTTGTTTATGTTCTGTGCAGAAAACTCTTTAAAAGTGAAACACCTTTTCATCATAACAAATTGAAAAAAAAAACCCCAAAAAAACCAGCATTAATTAAATATTGTATTCTAGATGTTAACCTAATTTTTTTTGGTTCTCATAATAGACTTTAACTAGTCAGCAGTGCTTAGTCTTATTCAACAGATTGAGTGTTCAAGGAAAATTACAGCAACATTTTTTTTGGTAGTGTTAAGAGGAAACACAACTCCTCTAAAAACAATAATATTTCACAAAATTAGAACATAGTTTAAACGAATGAGGTCTAAATATGCCAGACTAATTATATGCTATTTATATGAACTTTGTAATACAGCTAAAGAAATTGATGCTCACATCAACAGAAATTGAATAACTATTAGTGATACTCATGTGATATCAAGCCTGATGGCATGTAACATATATCAAATTTTAAGACCCTTATCATATTGATATTTGTCCCAATCCCACATTATTGTTTTCAAGGCAATGGATCATTACAGAAATATTTTAAATTTTAAATTTACATGCAAATATTCACTTAACAATTCCATTACAATCATCACAGTCAAAGTGTTCAAACACAGAAAATTATTGTGTAAAATTTTCACTATGTTCAGAGAAGCTTTGAAACGCCGGGTGCAGATCAGTGGCACTGTTTTCAATGTACATTTTAAAATTAATTCATACATTTTCAATCAGTCTTTTGGGGACTGGGTTGGGGGCGACTCCTTGAGCTTGGAAGCTGGCACGGAGTTCCTTTAAGACTTCAGTGGTCGGTAATTTCTTTGTTAGCTGACTTGCAAATATTAAAGCCTTTAAAAAAAAAAAAGGAAAACATTTTCTTACATTTTTAACATAAAACAAATAATCTAAAAATTGTATTTATAAATTCAATATATTGATATAATATGGGCACAAGTCTGACCTCTAGCTTGTTCCTTGTTTTATTTCATAAAATATCTGTTTATCTTTTTGTTTTCCTAGAAAAAGGTTTTTAACTTATGTGAAATTTTACCAACAATCAAAAGATAAGGCTCAAATACAAGATAAGAGAACCTTTATTATATTATAATTATTATATATTTTACTGGAATACACATTTTTAAAAAGATCAACTCTCCAATGACTTACATTTGGTGCACTGACTGTTTGCGTGGCTACTGACTTTGATAACACACCACGGAGTGCTCCCAGCTTGGCTATCTTTGAAATGACTTTCATTTTGTCCATGTTTGTAGGGACATGCTGGTTTGGCCGAGGTATAAGGCCAAGGTCACCAAGTTGGTAATGTGGAAGAGTTCCCTGTACATCGGGAAAATCCCTTTAAAAAAAAAAAGATAAGCAAGGGAATTGCATAATTATAAGCATGTATAGCCTTTGTAAGGAGTCTCATTAATCATTGATTTAGAGTAAATAGAGGTATACATTCAAGAAATAATGAATATACTGAATGTTTATAATGTATGTACTATGTAAATAAGTTTATGATGGTTGACCTATGATGAAATTTAACATCTAGTATGGAGGTGTTTCCTTAAGAGGAAGAAAATAAAATGACTTATGCAACAGAATCATAAATTCAATTTTTTAATTCTTATGTGAAGCGTTTATAGAAACATGTTAAAATTGTCAAAACTCTACAATTTATCAGAGAAATTATAACAAAGAAATACATTTAATCAAATCAAGTATTTTTTAAAGTTCTGTTTTCTTTCATTACAAGATAAGATTATTTTTTTATCTAAAATTAAACGGACATTTGTTTTGATTATAATGTTTTCATTCTTTAAAGTCTTTTCTTGAGTCTTTGTTGTTTTTAAAATTGGTCTGTTTCAAGGCACTAGTTGACCCATTGAGCGGTTAGATTAACTGTGAGGTGAGAAGGTCTTGAGTGTTCGTTGGTATTTCAAACATAGTATGGGCTCTTTGGTTCGAACACAGTTTTAATTTTTTTGTTCAAGTTCAATCAAGATCATGGATTATGTCTCTCTTATATTCTAAAAGGCTTTTTCTAATTTAAAAAAAATATGTATTTTTTTAAATTTGTTGGTATAATCTTATTTCCACTTTAGACTCACCCTTTCTGAATGCCTTGCCTGGCCCCAGGTAGATTGCTGCCTGCTTGAAATTTATGATCTGATATCTGTTTCCCAAGTTCATTGTGTTTAGGCCCAATGCCAAGATTGGCAGCGCTGTCCAAGAGCACCAAAAGATTTTCCAGCATGTGATCTCTCTTATAAATGGAGTTGATCTGTTGCATTTCATCAGGCATGGCGTCACTCTCAATCTCCTAAGTAACATTTACAGTTATAAAGGATAAAGTAATTAATTTGAAGAAAAAAAAAAGGTCATTGGAGCTATCCACCAATATTATTTATTGCTTACAAAATTGTTAGTCCTTAAAGGTGTATTCAATTGGGTCACTAAAAAATGAACCTCAGAATTTTTGTGGAATTTATGGAATACTTGTACGGAAAGTGGGTCCTGAAATGGCATGACAATTTTTTTTCCCTTGGTTCCACTGCACAGATTTTAATACATGTTGATGGAAGTTGAGATTGCAAATTGTGAACATTAAAATAAGTATCTCATTATTCTGATTTGTTTACAAACAAATAATTTATTTACAACGTACTTAATTTGACTGACTGAAAAAACCCTGAGAAGGCATAACATTATGATGTTATTTATTTATTTTTTTAAATAAACAAAAATAAAATTTTAAAGCATGACAGACGTCATATGCTAGATACACATACAAAGAAACTATATGCAGACTCTGAAGTCCTGGTTGTTACATTGGAGCAAGCAAGTGAGCATTATAATAAAAAGTGACAACAAGAACTTACAACTAGCGCGTCTCTTATTGCGGCTGCTGCAGCAGCCAACACCCCCTGTATCTGCGTTCTTAGTTTTGTCTCTTTTTGCAACATCTCCTTCAACTGCTGGGCCAACTGTTCGTGTTCCGTGTTGTCTCTAGTCATGGCTTCAAGCTCATTCCTATAATGGAGACATTGGAAATTTTGTGTGCTGAAACCACAAGTGAAGTGCAGCCCACCAGATAACATTTTATTTGTTTCGAAATCCCCATTAGCAAAACTCTGAGGATTATTTTTGAAATGCATTGCAACCGGGTCTAGTTATTTCTCTCGCCATCTTAGGCATGAGGCAAGGGTAGAGGTTGGAAAACCTTTCTGTCTGAGAGCCTCTTGTCATCTACGAGGTATTTAGCATAATTAACTGATATACTATGCCAGGGCTCAGCAAACTGATGTGCAGAGGCACAATGGTGTGCTGCAAGACGATGCTGAGTGTGCCACTGAAAAATTCCTCCAAGAGGGTGAAAAATACGCAAAGATGATGTACATTTGTTGAAACAAAAGAGGAGACAAGGATTGGCTAAATATCAAGCTGTCAAAGGCTTGACGTCAAGTAGGACAGCAAATATGAATGTTTAAATTTGACACCATCCCCAAAGTGTCTGAAGTGACTAGCTGAAAACGTCGTGTTGGAGATGGCGTCAGTGGGTCGTCGAGCGTGAGCTCTAAATACCCCCCCCCCGGTCTCCCCGCCGCCAGACCGTGCGGCAGCATGCCGGGGACCTCCCCCTGGCCTGGGGGACGTCCAGTAATAACGCTGTGTCCACTCTCCTTGGGTCTGAACGGCTTTGCTTCCTCTCCAGAGGAAAGGTGTTTCGTTACCTCCCCCCACCGTCACAGGGAGTTGTCCTATCGGGACGTAGGCGGGGACGAAACGGACGCCTGGGAGCGGTTTTCCAGGGCCGCGTGAGCTAAATATGTCCCTTTCACTCTGGCCTTTGATCCCACATTTTTCTTGTTGGTTGCCTACTGTGTAATACTTTGAATAGGTGTTGTTGCTCTTACACTATCGAGATAACATTTCATCACCAATGAAAGAAAACAAACCCACTACATACTAAGCCAGATCCTGTCCAGACTTTTGGGGGCCGAAGATCTTTCATCAGATTTCTTAATACAGTCAATAATGTGCTTTCTTTTATCATTACATTTGTGGGGCTTGCTTTCTTTTTAGCTCTGAGATAAATATGGTAACTTTGCATATGAATGTCACAAGTAAGTTGGTAGTCATTACTTTTATTTTATGGACAGAATATTTTAATTTTGAGCTTGAATCAGATTGTTTTTTTAGTGTTAAATTAGCACACATGCAAAGCATTTGAAAAATCAATAATAAAATTACCACTTTAAAGGTGGATACAAGCAGTTGTGTTAAAAAATGAAGATTGCCAAAAGAAACGCCAGTATGGATTTTCATGGTGTAGTGATAAATCAGCTATGAAACCTGAGAGGATAATTTGCAATTGATAACTTTGTAATAAGGCAATGATCTCTAGCAAACGTATTTGCTATCTAAATTAAAACATTCATATTGTGTCTTCTAGAATAAAGAATATTTTAGCAGAATTTTATTCAAAGGCAAAAAATGTGTTAGAACAAAAAGTTCCAAGATTAATGAAACATCAGAAAAAATATCAAGCTATTGGCCAAACCAGTGCCATAGTTAGGTGTGGTGTGGACAGCACTGGGTGACACCAACCCTTGCTTCGCCAGTGGGCCAAACACTCATTAAATGAGGAGGTGTAGAATCATTCAACTAATGCTTGGAGTGTTCAGGAAGTAGAAAAAGTTTCATAATCAGCTGATATTGTTTTCATGTGTCATGTTATTCTTTGGAAAAATTTATTAAAAGTAGTTTAAAAAGATGAGACCTTTTCACTCCAAGTGGATGAGACAATGGATGTTAAAAAATCGATCACAGATCATCAGTGTTGTACATTTTGTTAATGAGGATGCAATTAAAGGAGCATTATTTGTTTTGCAAAGAACTTTCAGTGGGGACTGCTGGTGAGGAAATATTTCAAGTAACTGATTTTTTTTTATTAAACTTTTGTAAATCAATGGAATAATGTGTTATTGTTTGCACGGATGGTGCTGCTGTGATGGGTAATACATAAGGATTTTTTTCTCATGTGTAAAAAGATAGGATCCAACAGTAGGAATTAAACATCGCTGCATTCATCAAGAGGCTTTGATGGCAAAAATTTGCCAGATGACCTATTGAAAATGATGAACAACATCATAAACATAATTTATACAATTATAAAAAAATATTTTGTGAAGAAATGGTATTGAGGATATAAATCCCCATTATTTCACAAAATTTGTTAGCCATCCCGAGGTAACTTCTCTTGCTAGATTGATTGAGCTGCGCCATGAGGCTAGTCAATTACTGCTTATTCAAGACATGTCTGAACATCACCAGCTTCAGGCACTCCATCACTGGCTGGCAAAACTTGAATACATGACTGACGTGCGTTAACATCTGAATGAACTAAATAAAAAAATGCAAGCTGGGATTCAGAATTTACTTACATAACATGCCCCGATAAGTTAAACAGCTTCAAACAGAGGCTAAAATTTGGCTAACCAAGTTACACCAAGGATCTTTACAGATATGCCACTGAACCCACTCGACTGCCATGGCAAACAAGCAGAGCGACTAAATCTAACATCACTGTCCCCAAAATTTGAGCAATACTTTTATACAGTAAACATGGAGCAATACATTTGGATCTGAAATACATATGTCTCCAACAATCTAGGTGAGCTGTGAGAGAAAAAAGGTTGTGGAGCACTGTACTAAACAACTGATTCATAATATTTCATCAATTTCTTGAAATGAACTAATTTAATATTATGATACATCAATAATATTGTTACAGTAATTACTGATCCACATCTTTGGAAAAAACAACAACCACATTTGAGTAAATGAGTATGTGTAGAACTAAGGAAATACTAATTTCTTTATTGGACATTTTGGCATGTAAAGTTTCTGATTTGAAACTCCACTGACAATGAGTAAGGCTTAAAATTAAAATTTATTGAATAACAGAACAAATATGACTAGTAAAAGTATCAGATTTGTTGTTATATGCCAGCTCTAAATATAAATAAACGCCTTTAAATATTTTTGTGAAGGTAATAACTTTTAATGATATATTTACCAGGAAAAAAATCATCAAAATATATTTTTATTAAAATGTTGCTGTGACTTATAATTCTTCTTCTTCTTCTTCTATATCTTAAGGGCCCACGATCAATTTATTAATTAAAGGTTTCTATTAAAATTTGGTTGCAATGGCGGTCACTTGCTAATAAAAAAACATATGAGTTAAGAATATGTGCTCTGTAACTTACTAATTACAAATAAACTGATTTTAGGCTGTGTCTTTTGGCCCAAAGGATGGACACCTGGCGAAAATTTCATAGAACCTGCCTTAAAAATATTGAAGTCAACCCATTGGTCTGCAATCAGACCCTCTTGGGCTTTGCTTCTATTGTCATTGACTTTCCCAAGTTGTCCCCAAGGAATTGTGATTGTTTCTCCCAACAGGTAAGAATGGGGTACTTGAAAACCGGACAAAGATTTGAACTCCAGTGTTGGCCAGTAATGACCTCATTGTGCTTCACCATACAGTTAGCATAAGACAAAGAAATTTGAATAACATTTCACTGCTATTTTTGAAACAGTAATACGTAATTTCAGTGTTCAATTAAACTTTAAACAATGTTTATAAGTATTAATAAAGAAAGTAAATATTGTGACCTTGTTGAAAAAATCTGCTTGTGGAGAAGCTCAGCCTCATTCTGAAGTTCCATGAATTCATCATCTCTCTTTGCAAACTGTGATATTAAAGACTCCTGGCTCTGACATTTCTCAGTCATCAATTTGATCACCTAGGTTTGATTCAGGCCATTAAATTTTTTTTTTATATACAAATAATCAAAGACAAAATAAAGACAAAATAAAGGCTAGATCCATCATAAGTTTGAGTATCCCAGTTCAGAAATGTCAATATAATTTTTAAAAATTACACCGATCAATTCCTCCTATCAATTATCCCCATCAGTTACACCGATCAATTCCAACTATCAATTAACCCCATCAGTTGCACCTATTAACTCCACCTATCTGTTACACCTATCAATAATCCCCATCAGTTACACATATCAATTAACCCCATCAGTTACACCTTTCAATTCCACTAATAAATTAAACCCCATCCACTAACCCTACCAGTTACACTTATCAATAATCCCTACCAGTTACACCTATCAATAATCCTACCAGTTACACTTATCAATAATCCCTACCAGTTACACTTATCAATAATCCTAACAGTTACACTTATCAATAATCCCTACCAATTACACTTATCAATAATCCCTACCAATTACACTTATCAATAATCCCGACAGTTACACTTATCAATAATCCCTACCAGTTACACCTATCAATAATCCCTACCAGTTACACCTATCAATAATCCCTACCAGTTACACTTATCAATAATCCATACAGTTACACTTATCAATAATCCCTACCAGTTACACCTATCAATAATCCCTACCAGTTACACTTATCAATAATCCTACCAGTTACACCTATCAATAATCCCTACCAGTTACACCTATCAATAATCCCTACCAGTTACACTTATCAATAATCCCTACCAGTTACACTTATCAATAATCCCTACCAGTTACACTTATCAATAATCCCTACCAGTTACACTTATCAATAATCCCTACCAGTTACACCTATCAATAATCCATACCAGTTACATCTATCAATAATCCCTACCAGTTACACCTATCAATAATCCCTACCAGTTACACTTATCAATAATCCCTACCAGTTACACCTATCAATAATCCCTACCAGTTACACCTATCAATAATCCCCATCAGTTACACCTATCAAATAACCCCATTAATATTAACACATACTGTATTAAATCCATAACACAATTACCTTCAAGTTGCTCTGATTTCTTTTACTAAGTTCCTTCTCATTTGATTCCATCAGCTCAACTTGTTGTTTCAAACTCTTCACTTTTTCACCCAGCTCATCATTCTGTTGGATCAGTTCAATGGTCTTGTCAGACATCTTGGCCAGCTGAGTCGTAATGGAGACATTTTCACGTATTGTTCTCTTGGTAGTTTCTGCCATCTGCTTATTGCTGACTTTACGAAACTCTGCTGCAACATGGTTCACCCTTAATATCATTTCCTTTTTGAGCCTGTGAAGTGAAGTAGTTAATAGTAATGCAGCGAAGAATTTAACAATAAAAATAAAAAGTCAGGTAGGATCTTCGTATTTGAAAGTAAAAATTACTAGTCTAACAGTATCAAGCCCCTAACTAAATTTAATTTAAAAAGACCTTTTAGTCTGGTTTAAATAATTAAGGCAATCTTCATAAAATATGTGGATTTATTTCCTAAATAATCACATGCTCATCACATAATTACATAATCACATAATAACATAAATGTTTCTTCTGTGGGTTTTTCTATGATTATAGTTCTCTACAGAAGCAAACAGTTCTAGGCTAGCATGAAACAACAGAGGTGAAATCATATACTTATTTCAAACAAGGTTACCTGTCTTTATCAATTACTGCCTTTTTCTCTAGCATGTACAAATGATCCTGATTCTCCTCCTCTTTTCGCAGCAGTTCATTTTCCATCTCTGCAAATTTGTTCATCAACTCTTCCTTCTGAACCTTGAACTCCTCCAGAGATGCCAGTTTGCCCCCTGTTCATCAGAATATCATTTTTTGGGTTTAAGTCAACTTTACATTAGTCAAATCAACATAACCAAAGATTAAGAAGGTTATTACAATAATTAATTAACCTATTAGTTTCCTAGTGCTGGTTGGCTGAGTTGTCTAAACTGAGTGAAGCTAGTGGACTGGAGTTCAAGCCCCAGAAAATGCCTAGACATGATTGTTGTTATGGTTGTTTGTGGTCTTTTCAAGCGTTATTCATTGTGCAAGGGTGCTGGGTGGCCGAGTGGTCTCCTGTGTCAATCACAAGCTGGTGGGAACTAGAGTTCAATCCCTAGCAAAAGCAAAAAACATCACCAGCACACTGGTTGGATGAGACTCATTAAACTTGGATGGCAACTCATCTAAGGGAAGGCAAACTCTGCAATCAAACCCAGAGATGACATTAACACACAAATTAACACACAACTCTTTCCACGTAAAAGGTATAAAGTGTACATTGAAACACACACTTTGCTGGTCATCTACTGAATAAAATGAGTAAAACAGAGTAGGGTTAAACCTGAAAAAATAAACGCAACAAAACAGCGAACGTGTCGGCAGAAAGCCTTCGTCAGCGAACAAAAGAACAGAAAAAACGGTATAAAAATAAGAAATACTGCATCCTGGTCCAGTTCCAGTCATCTTGACCAAGTCTTGTCATTGGATGTGAGAGTTAATCTGAGGAATTGAGCAACTCTTCCTTTTGCCTTGGTCACATTTTCATGCAAAGGACAAACAACATAGTTTTTCTAGTCCCAGTAATATCAAGTTCCACTACTCTGCACTCCTCAAATTTGTTGTTTCCCAATCCCCATTTGAAAAAAATTATATACAGAAATCAACCATTGTGGTTGAATATCATATGCTGGAATGTCATACATCCCACATGAAAGATAAAAAACCCTTCCATTTGCCAACATTTATATTTTACAGCAGCTTAAAGATCTGCCAAAATATGCCCTTAGCTTAGTGACATATAAAAACTGATTTATTAATTCCATTTAGATAAAATTGACAAAGTCTTTATGGACTAAAAATTAATTGATATTTTAATTATGCTGGTGAACAGCTCTCATGTATGGAATTCAAAAGGCATTAGCAGGTTTAATTTTTTTTTTTTTAAAAAGAAAAGAATTTTCTCACTAAATTGGCTTTATCTACCATTCATTTAATATTATCAGCTCAAAGTCAAAGAAAATTAGAAAAATATAATAATCAAAATCTAAAACACTTGTTTTTTTAAAATAAGAAATGTAAAAAAAACATTTGTAAAAAATTGTAATTTATCTCACTCATAAGATTTATAGTAAACGTTTAAGTTTTAAATGGATAGGAAGCAGAACAACAAACCAAGAATCATGTTCTCTGCCGTTAGTGAATCTTTCATCTCCTGGTACTCTGTCCTCTGTTCTTGAATTTGTTTTTTGAAAGCTTCCCTTTCATTGTCCCTGGCTTGCTGGAGGCCAATGTGTTTGTCATTCAGATCAGCCAACTCTTCGGCTGTGAAATATATGAAAATATAAATGTATATATTTTTAAATAGGATTACTCAGAAGCAATGGACTACTCAACCAGATGAATGCAATGCAGTGGTACACTAAATTTAAGTTATTGTAAATAATACATTTTCAGGTAACCTGGCTTCTCTAAATGTGACAATTTCACAGTAGAGAGAATAAATAATTGTGACATCGCTAATTTCATGATAACCACAGCTTTTAAATAAAGATAAAAATAATAAAGGATGGAGAAATATTCTTTCTTTATTATTATTGTAAGTTAATTTCAGTGTCTGTCTAATCATGTAATAGAGTTCATTTGGATACATCATAAGTTATATCTACCTACTTTTCAAGTCCAGCTGCTTTTTCCAGAATGCCACAATCTCTTTTTTATCTGAAGACAATTGATCGAATTTCTCCAGGAACTGGCCATTTGCAACTTCTAGCTCATCACAGCGTTTTTGGTATCTGAAAATATTAAATGCCATAGCAATAAAAATTAGAACTATCAAGAATGACAAGCAGCAGCCAAAAAAAAAGCAATATATATAGGGCCTTAATATTGAATTAGAAAGAAAATGTTTAAATCATGATTTAGAAAAAGATGTCTGGTTAGGTTGTTTGATTTAATAGTTAAGAATCATCAATTTAATGCATGGAGTCAATAAAGCAATAATTTAAGGTACAGTGTTTCTCAAAGATGTAAAATCATATTCTAATTTATTGAAAATAATATGGTACATCTCTGAGAAACATGTCCAGTAAAAGGAAAAAACATAAAAATGTGTTCTTCCATTTTATCTGTTTACCCTCTATTAATAGTCTATGGATTAGCAAACTAATGGAAATATGAACTGCATATTAGGATCAGTTCTATCTCTAGATAATAATTTCTGGCTTATTATTTTTTTTTAAATTTGATTTCTAAGCATATTTTTAAAATAAGAAATAAACTCATAAAATCTTTTGAAGAACATCTAACTATTAAATCAAGGCTTGGACCAAGTAAGTTCTGAAAAGAACTGACTTACTTAAAAATCCTATTTTCCAGACACTGTATAACATTCAAAAAGAATTGTTTACTTTCTACATCAAGCTTTGGTTTTGGTTTCTCATATGGTACTGGTGGAGGCTCAGCTGGTTTCTTAGCTTTTTCCTTTTTGCTCATGGTGGTGGGGCGTGCTGTCTATACTTTGTTATTCTTTTACATTTGAGTAAATCAAGTGTATACCAAAGAGATATGCAATAGATGTGGAGGAGGAGCCAAAAAATAATTTCACAAGCAAATGAAAATTTCTAAATTAAATTAAAAAAAAACAAACAAACACCACTGGCCTTCATTGGTCAATACAAATTCTTTATGTATATATTCTTTATATATCTTTAGTTATATAAAATTACTGCCATTTTACCATAACTGATCAAACTTCCAAATGGAAATGATACATTTTTTAATAAAAGTTCAAATGTCTAAATAACATTTTTAGATTTATTAACCAATGCCCTAACTCAAATAATGTTGTTCAATATTTTCAGTGAATTTAGTTTCCATTATTGTTGTCATTAAGCTGTGTGACATATGGATTGTGTTGAAAATGAACTTTTGAATGGATGAGTTGAATTTCAGACATCATAACTCAGTATGCACTCATCCACATTAATTTGAAAAGTAATTTCATTATATGAATTCTACATTTGATATAATGCATTTAGGGTGGAGGAGAATGAACTCTACAATTAATATAATGCATTTAGGGTGGAGGAGAATTCACAATTTTCTGAAAGTTTTTTTTCTTGGTTGTGTGTAAGGTAGGTTTGGGGGGGGGGGGGGGGTGTGTGGAGGGTAAGGAGGGAAAGAAGTAGCCTACTATTTAGTTATATCAGACAAAATGGTATATTTTTCAGGAGTATACATTAGATGACACATGCACTAAATCACATGCACTTAAATTAACTGTCAGTGTCAGTTTTTTCCGTTATAGAGGCAAAATTAATACCCTAACTTTGTCTAGAAGTGACACAGAACTGAGATATAGAAAAGTTGTCAATGTAAAGATATCCCTATGCCTTGAATTCTAAAAAAATTATGACTGGGATAAGTTCAAAGGGTTAATGCAAGACTCAAGTCTATGTTTATTATTTGGTGTTCAAGACATTGTCAATGATGGGTCAATATATAATCACTTTCAGTTTTTTGTTCAAATGTTAACTATGCTATGGTGTACTGAAGTTACAGTAAATCCAATTTTTTTAGGCAGTTAATGTTATAAAATAAAACTAATACTAATACAAATAAATTATTAATAAATGAATGTATTATAGTATTATATTTAGTATCTGGGCCTATATGATATAAATATATGATATATGTTTTTTTGGCTTTCGGCTGGGCCAATTATAATTATGTTTTAAATTTGAAGATTAAATAAATCTTAAAATAAAGTTTAAAAAATATAAGGGCACCTCTAGCAAAACGACTACTACATACAATCAAGACAAGAAAACTGCAAAGTACCTAAGTAAAGTACAGGTAGCTGTTGTGAAAATGTGGATGTTGTTATAAGTTTTGTGATGTTTAGTAAGTGAAAAAGTTTCACAGCTTCCGCGTTTTCCCCGTTCACATGGTAACACTTAGAAACAGACAAAACGTCAAAAAAGTTTAAGAAGTTTACTTTATTGATTCGCGGTATTTATTATAAAAATAAAACGTTTGCAATTCAAAGTTCTTACAAAACAAAATTTCATATTGGAAGAATTTTTAAAAGTATTATTAATAGGCAATCATTTAGCACAAACTTTCCCCTTAAAAAATGTGTAAAATGAGTTACATTTCAAAACTTTGTAAAAGTGTAGGTCTGCGATAAAAATTAGTTCAGTGATTTGATGGAGGCGGTCCGTCTTCGGTGTACCAAGTTGACAATTTTTACTACTCGACCACTCCCCCCGAACTATAAACATTAAAATTAATTTTAAAAATAAATTAATATACAGATATGTTGACATTTATTTTTCTTTACCGGACCGGTACCAAGCCTATTTCACTTGTTTGGCGGGAAAACAATTTAGTCTCGAATCCACGTTATCATTAAGTTACATCATTCGTGAATGACAAGACTAAAATAAGCGAAACACCTTCCATAAAATACGTCATGCTCCGGAAAATGGTGGTGGGGGGGGGGGGTGCTAAGAAAGTGTAACAGTTTGTGATGGGGAGGGATTTAAGATGATTTTGTGACGCCACACAGTTAATTTTTTTTAATCATACGCATAAAAAATGAAATTCCAAGTGATGTTTAACTTTCTGCTGCGATGGATGTATTCCAACAGAAGATGTCACTTAGCAATATTATTTTCTATAATTATAATATATAAAAGCCAAATAACAGTGATTTTGGTGATTTAAAATCTTAAAAGCTTTGATGGCATTTCCAGAATCTTTGAAAGTATCAAACTAGCAATTTAAATTTAAAGCTCAATTTCTTTCAGGAAACATTGTAACTAGACTAGTACAAACTAGTAATGAAATGAAGGGGCAATACTTTGGTAGTTTACTTACATAATAATAATAATATACTACAAATAACTCCCTAGAATTGGAAGCTATTGGCAATAAATAATCTTAATCATGAACTTAATCAATCATTTGTCTTCTTTTCTAGGACTAGAACTAGTCAATTAGTAGGAATGCAGTATGTCTATAGTCTATAAGTCATTCCTTGTGAAGTTGAAATTTTGCATGGACATTCATTTTATGCTCTAGGGGAGCACTGAAATTTTCTAAATAATTTTTAAATTTCAGATTTTGTAATAGCTTAAAATGACTAAAGACCGAAACATTGATAAAAGGAGTGATTTGTTTTGTGAGCGTGTTTTTCGGTTTGTGTTTTGATTTTGATGTCACGTTTTTGTGTTTTGATTTTGATGTCACGTTTTTGTGTTTTGATTTTGATGTCACGTTTTTGTGTTTTGAACCGTATTTGAACATGCACTGGTTTATTTTTGCGAATGACGCGCATAAAAAAAAAAATGCATTTTGAAGTTATCTAATATTAAAAATCATCAACTGGTGTAGACACTTTTATCTTTCATTAACGTTTCATTATTGTGTTGAATTCGTCATTATGATGTCTTTAAATATAGTAAAAATAAAAACTAGGCGTTTTTTAAAGTGTTTTTTTTTTTTTTTTTTTTTTTTTTTTTTGGGGGGGGAGGGGGGTTTCGGTCGGCGTTGACATTCTGAAACTAAGAAGTGTTCCTAGAAACAGAGTATTTGTATTTTCAATGTCTAAGTAATTAATCAGTATGACATTACTCCATCGCCTGTCTCATTATCTGAGCTTAGTCAATGTTAATCGTGAATACCTGAGAGAACTTTCTCACGGTGAATGCGAGCTTTCAGAATCCGTTTTTTTTTAAAAAAAGTAACACAACTCAATTTTCTGGGAAGGCGTTCAACCATGCAGAGCCGTTCTTAGGAGTTTGGGGGCCCTAAGCATGGAGCGAAGGTTGGGGGTCCGGGGGTGTGGCTCCCTCGAGCTGAGGAGAAAACACCAGCCACCACTGCGGCACCTCCATTCTGCCTTCATCAATGTTTCCTCTTTGCTCGCGTGTAACCACTAACCATAGTGATAAATCCGCCACTAGAGAAAATGTGTAATTCTGAAATATATGGACATGCAGGTGGTAGTGGGGCCCTAGGCGGTTGCCTAGTTTGCCTATATGCCTAAGAATGGCTCTGGTCGCACTTATTTCCTTATTTTTCCCTTGCCTCCGAATTCAACTCAGAATGAAAAATTTCAGGATGAGGAAGGTAACGTGAGTGACACAGACGGCTTCAGTGCCAGTTAAAAAAAAAACCGGGAGATCGAGGGTGCCTCACGGGGGCCCCCTTACGTTCGGGGCCCTACGCGGATGCCTAAGAACGGGCCTGAACCATGGTTGCCTAGTGTCGTAGCAAGGGGTAATGGTCACCATGGGCGAGCAAATATTTTTTCCGTCCCTTCCACTTCCACGATAAAAATTCGGTAGTAGGAAAAAAATACCGCACTTTCAGAATGAAAAAAGCCCCCCCCCCCCCCCTAATTACCCCCCCCCCCCCACAACTCCCCGTTGGTTTAGATTCTGGACGCCTTTTATTGTATACAAAAGATACATAGATATGTAGCTGCCTCGGGTATAGCAACGAACTTAATTGGACAGTGGAAAGTTCACTCTGCCTTCCAACGGCCTCTCAAATCAAATCGGCCTGAGACTTTTTTCAGTGCAACATTGTGATACAGCCCAGGTATTTCTGGTGTGCATTGATTGTTTGGAATGAGTGCTCTACGGGTCATAATGAGGGAATAGAAGTAGAAGCGTTGTGCGTTGATTGTTTGGGATGAGTGCCCTACGGGTCATAATGGGGGAATAGAAGTAGAAGCGTTGTGCGTTGATTGTTTGGGATGAGTGCCCTACGGGTCATAATGAGGGAATAGAAGCGTTGTGCGTTGACCATTTGGGATGAGTGCACCATGGGTCATAAGCAACTCTTCATGACATCCGGGGTGGTAATTGCCCTATGGGTGGGACGAACACGCTCCTGGCCCGGGACTTCAGACAGACACAACCAGTCTTTCATCGAGGAATGCGTGCTTAATGAGGCTATCTAAGACCTGAAATGTAAGTCCCATCAACATTGTGAGCCAACATTAGGGTCCATTTCTAAAACAATTTGAGGAGCCAGAATGATCAATACATTGATCGCGGGCCCTCAACATATAGAAGAAGAAGAAGCTTTTGATTTCTCAAATTTCCTTCTCCAAACAGGAGTTGAAATTTACAAGAAGATGATGGCAAGGTATACGCTTCAGGTAATCTCTGTGAAATCTAAGCAAGTCGGTGGAATGGTTACGTAAACCTAAATGCGAGCGATGGCGGCTACAAAAGGTTTCGCCTCACTGATCTGATCGTTGTTTGACCTCTAACACAGGACTAGCTATATCTATTACTATTAAAATATAACATTTATTTGTACGTCTAACTAAGCCAATCATACTGACCAATGAGCTTTTTAAAAAAAGTGCCTTTGTGTTTTAAATTACTCGACCTTTACATATTATTATTATACTCTCAAACAGCGTTGCGAAGCAATGGTATCAGCTACTAGTAATTATAATGCTACATGTAGGCCTACATGAAATTTAATATTTTAACAGTGAAGTGTATTAGGTTGAATTTAATTAGTTGTTAATTTCTTTAAAGATTCGTTTTACGAGTGTGACGTAGGCCTATACGAACATTCACTGTTTAGGACTACTGACTACCGAATATACGAACATTCACTGTTTAGGACTACTGACTACCGAATATACGAACATTCACTGTTTAGGACTACTGACTACCGAATATACGAACATTCACTGTTTAGGACTACTGACTACCGAATATACGAACATTCACTGTTTAGGACTACTGACTACCGAATATACGAACATTCACTGTTTAGGACTACTGACTACCGAATATACGAACATTCACTGTTTATGACTACTGACTACCGAATATACGAACATTCACTGTTTATGACTACTGACTACCGAATATACGAACATTCACTGTTTATGACTACTGACTACCGAATATACGAACATTCACTGTTTATGACTACTGACTACCGAATATACGAACATTCACTGTTTATGACTACTGACTACCGAATATACGAACATTCAGTGTTTATGACTACTGACTACCGAATATACGAACATTCACTGTTTATGACTACTGACTACCGAATATACGAACATTCACTGTTTATGACTACTGACTACCGAATATACTTGAATATAATTCGCAGTTTATGCCCCAAAATTTGGATAAAAATCAGCGGCGCCACCTACCCACTTTTGCTTACTTCTGCGTACATCACTTTTGCTTACTGTTATTGGGTGTGGAGTAGTCTTTTATATGAAAAGTCGATAATCGTTTTCTCCTTTGCTTATGAATGAGCCAAGAGCAATGAGCCAAGAGCCAAGAGCAATGAGATTTTTACATTTTATTATAGAAGATGAAGTATTTTATGACAATCGATTTTCAGTATTCAAGTTTTTTAGAAACACTTTTGCGATGTCTGTTTAACAAATATTAGTTATATTTATGTTACAAAAAGAGCCATGTAACTACCCAAACTATTTATGTAACAAAAAGAGCCATGTAACTACCCACACTATTTATGTTACAAAAAGAGCCATGTAACTACCCAAACTATTTATGTTACATAAAGAGCCATGTAACTACCCAAACTATTTATGTTACGTAAAGAGCCATGTAACTACCCAAACTATTTATGTTACAAAAAGAGCCATGTAACTACCCAAACTATTTATGTTACAAAAAGAGCCATGTAACTACCCAAACTATTTATGTTACAAAAAGAGCCATGTAACTACCCAAACTATTTATGTCACAAAAAGAGCCATGTAACTACCCAAACTATTTATGTTACAAAAAGAGCCATGTAACTACCCAAACTAAGGATGAGGATTAAGCCAAAAGGGTGCAACCTATCAAGTGGTGGGACCCATATGCCAGCACATGTGGTATATGCCTGTTAGAGATAATAGTATCTATTTTTGCTAAAGACTTCAAAATTATTTTAAAATCATTGAAACAAATCAGGCAAGCAAAGTAATTGTGGCACATGCTCTGAGTGTTTGACTACAGCTCCCTTATATTTCATAATGCTGCTATGTAGTTGTGGCAAAATTGTTACAAAAATGATGAGCCATTTAAAATTGGTGAAGAGCTGGACTTTATTAAAGAAAATAACATTTACAGCCCAGTCTCTAATCACTTTGTCCTTCCGTCCTGGGGTTTTAGATCCCTAAATTCCCTTACCATAAATCCCATTGCTAATAAATGTGGCAATGTGCCACTATTTGCAACTGCTTTTAGGTAACATTTTATATGCGGCAGTATGCATGAAACAGATAGGAATAAGAGAATCCACTCTCATAGTCATAGTGTTACTGCTATGGGTAACCCCAAGCACGTACACATCCATGGTCATTTAAAGTAACACACAGCTGTGTACTGGCTTAAATTTTATGTTGGTTATTTACACGCGGGAATAACCATCCCTGGCCCGGGGTTGACCCATGGTCAGCTTGGGGTGCGGGTTCCCTGTGACTGTTTTGGGGGGGTTGGGGGGGGGGCGAACTGGGACTTGAGGTGTGTAAAAATGTTTTTGAGATTGTGGTGTGGAACGGATGCGTCGGGTCGGCGGCAGGTGTGAGAGATTTTCTTGTCGGCTCTGTCAACGGATTGTACCTTACATTAAAAAGCTATAGTTCTCAGACCTGATTGTTTTATTGTGATTTTATTTTAACTTTAAGCCACGTCCCCACTCGGCTACATAAATTTCAAAGATTTAAGCAGACCTCTTTTGCTTTTAATTCGTATATAGTTTTTTCTTCTTCAATTATTGTAGTTATTTTACCCATATGAAGAAGCTAAAATGCTGTACAATAATCTGCTGTCTTAATTAAATAAAACATAAAAATAGGCTTCTCAAGCTTTATAGCGGTACAATTTTAGCTCTTGCTGTGGGTGCCTTAGTCCTTAGCACTGATATATTAGTCCTCCAATCAGTATATAACTTAAGGGAGAAGAAGAAAAAAGAATTTCTGTCTTCAATTAAGAAAGGATTGCACTACAATTTTTGTGTGAATAAAGGGCTTTAGCTTTTCAATGACTTAATAAGCTTTTCTTCAAATGCTGATGAACTGCAGTATATTAGAGTTTTACAGTCTATCTCAATGTATTCCAAGAATAATTTTCAATCAATAAAATTTACTAAATAAGGCCACAAAATAAAAAGTGAGATATTTCCATATCCCAAAAACTTAGATTGAAAGCAAAAGGCACTCAGTACTGGTACCCATTTGAATTTATTATTCAATATTTACAACTCAATTAATATAAAATATTCATATATCATTTGAAAGCATCTTAATTCAAAATTCTGCATTTAAAAGAAATTATTAAAAATTCAAAAGTATCAAAATCCTGAAAAAAGGAAGTCATTTTAGCATAAAATTTGCTTAATGCCATAATATGCCTCAATTTACAAAACTTACCTTATTTGAAATTTATATTTAGGCTTAGTCATAGTCGAAGTAGTTGATTAAACTTAATTTTCAAATTTTGAACACATTGCAATCATAGTTTGTTAATGATTTCCATGGAAAATTTAAACACAAGCTAGGCAATATTGGCTGTAACTATAACCAATTGCCTATTATTATGATGCCTATGTCTAACGCTTATGTCTATTTTTATTACTGTTAGCAGTTATTCTATGTTTCTAACTCTATGGGGGCGTCCATAGATTAGGCCTACATCAGCAAAATAGGGTGGGGGGGTGTTTGTAAATTTTTGACAGTTGTTGACAAGGGGGAGGGAGGGGGTTTAGATTAGTTGATGTCAACGATCATGGTTTTAGTATTAAAATTTTAATCTTAAAAATTGACTTGTTCCTACATTATTTTAAGCAATATAATGAGTGTAAATTGTCATATATGTTTATGCTTTTAACAATATAAGAGTTATTTAATGTGTGTCTGTCTGTGCACTGCATTTAGCCTTGGCTGGTCAGAATGCTAGCACACTTTGTTATCTGGTATTTGGTATCTCTTCACCTGTCATTTTTCTCTTAATCCACTCCTTGGAATGATTAACACATCATTGTACACGGTGTTCAATTAAAAAAAAAACACCAACTCATTGGTGTTCAATAACAACTATACCAACTCAAAGACAGAGATAGAGCTTATGGCAATTATTGCTCACACCAACAATACTTCTATTTTAAGTGCTGAATGGCTAAATAAGGATGATGTTGACTTGTCAGGTATATCAGTTCCGCAAGATGAAAATGATAAATCAGCTACTATAGACTATGCCCATCAGGGGCATCATTTCAGTTTTTTTTCAGGGGAAGGGAGGGGGTAGAACCAAAACTTGGTCGGTTTGTTAAGTTGTTTATTACTGGAGGCGACACAGCAATTTAAATAAAACCAGCAAAATGAGGGGTGGGGGGGGGGGTTGCAAATACCCCCTTCCTTACCCAAATGATGTCCTTGGTCGGTTTGTTAAGTTGTTTATTACTGGAGGCGACACAGCAATTTAAATAAAACCAGCAAAATGAGGGGTGGGGGGGGGGGTTGCAAATGCCCCCTTCCTTACCCAAATGATGTCCCTGATGCCTATTGTTAAGATACAGCAACACCTGGCTACTCCATGGGAAGATGATAGCAGCTAGAAACTATACTATAATTGTCAGCTATACGGACAATAATCATATTTATAATTCCACAAACAATGATATTTAGTCCTTAACAACCTTTTAATTGATTCTGCATTATAAAATTTAAGTGCAAAAACTTTTTAACTTGTTGATTAACAAGCTAAACATGTAAACAAAGTAAAATGTATTTATACATTTATTTACATACAATTTTTTAGGAGGGGGGGGGAGGGTTATAAAATGTTTACATAATTAAATGGGGGAGGGGAGTATAAAATGTTGACATAATTAAATGGGGGAGGGGAGTATAAAATGTTGACATAATTAAATGGGGGGGGGGGCATCGAAAGTTTGACAGTTGTTGACAAGGGGGGGGGGGGGGGAAAAATTGCGTAAAAGTTGGTGACGTAATTAATGGACGACCCCTATGACTATGTAAATATAAGAGTATGTCGGTGATAATTTTAATTAATAACAGTTGACAACAACAATATACAATAATCAGTAAAGGAAAGGCCTTTAATAATAGGCTATATAATATATATATGCTATAGGTCTTATATAAAACATTTTAATAAAAAAATTAAAANGGGGGGGCAGCGAAAGTTTGACAGTGGTTGACAAGGGGTGGGGAGGGGTAAAAATTGCGTAAAAGTTGGTGACGTAATTAATGGACGACCCCTATGACTATGTAAATATAAGAGTATGTCGGTGATAATTTTAATTAATAACAGTTGACAACAACAATATACAATAATCAGTAAAGGAAAGGCCTTTAATAATAGGCTATATAATATATATATGCTATAGGTCTTATATAAAACATTTTAATAAAAAAATTAAAAGATTAAAGAACGCAAGATTACCTCGCAACTCTGTTTTCTAGGTCTCTTATTTGCACAAGAAAGAACTCTTTTGTCTCATCATCAACTTTCGGTGCTGCTGAAGGGGGTACCTGCTTCTTTCCTCCTTTTTTCTTTCCTTTACCTTTTTTCCCACTCCCTTTCTTTTTGGGAGGCATTTTCTGGTTTAGTTGTTTTTAAAATTTCGATCTCTTATTTAAAAAGATTTTGAAATCTCAAAATTGCTACGCGCGCATTAGTCTTTAGTGGTAGATAAAGTAGCATTTACCCCACGCAAGAGAATGTCTGCCATATTGTTTAACATTAGTGTATCCTAGCAACATTGGTTAAAAATGTAGTCTGCTTAAAAAGCAAGATAATGAAAGTTCTTTAAATGCAATGATTATTAGCTTTCATATCTCATATCAATATGGCTATGATAATATAATTTAATATATTTACAGCAGGTATATTTTCAACATTATCATTGGTGATTGCTACTTTCTCCAACATTTATTTTCATTTAAACAAATTGTTTCGTCAAATTTTGAATTCTTATCTCTCTTAGTACTCTTGAGTCTTAACGCTCCAGTTACTCCACCTTCCTGTTTCGTTTCCTGACAATTGTGACATGTTTAGATAAATTTTTATCCATAATCAGAGGTAAGAATTGGATATGTGTAAAATTGGAGAAACTGACGTAAATAAGTAAGTTTTATATAGATAACACCATTGTATGCAAACATAAATAAAGGCCTAACTGATTCAAAGTAACTAATTAAAAATAAATAGGCCTTGTGAAGCTAGTCGACCGAGGCACTTTTCACTTAGGCCTAGGCTCCTGCTTACTTTCTTTACCCAACTTTACTTACTAAGTGTAGGTAAGTTCTTAGTCTATTATACTAAGTACTTACCTACTTTTACTAACTACTTTTCTTTTAGTAATTACTATTGGTACCAAGTCAAGCATACTTAAAATAGATACTTCAACAAAATGTTTAAAATGAGCTACAGACTACAGGCTACAGCTTTAAGACCTTGTATTAGGTACTTCAATATAAAAAAAATAAAAAATTCGAAATAATTTTTTAATAATGCAGTTATTTAGATTTAGAGCAAATTTCAAATAAAAATATAAAACCAGAATTGAACCAACTTTTTAGCTTAAGTACTTTTTGAGCTACCGTACAAATTTTGAAAGTGTGAGTTGGTTTGGTATTTTTTACTATGGACGAAACCTCCACATCTTGAGACCTCATTCCACTCATCACGTCATGCGCAATGACTATATACTTTATATAAGGCAACGCATCCCCTTATCACTAAAATACTGTTTAGGATCGACATTTATTTAACTTTCAACTTTGGCACATGAATAATTAATTAAAGCTTTCCCTGACCAATGGTTTTAATAGTTTTTTCACACGGCAAACTCTTATGAATGAAACTCCAAGGTAGTACTACTATACAGCCATTATGCAAGTGGCTGTGAATGGTTGCCACTGACAACGTGTTACACACGGAAAATTCTGATAATTTATAATATTTACTCTACCGGGTTTTTAAAGCTCAAATTAAAATATTACAATTTAAGTGTCTTCAGAATGCATTCTGAAACACAAGTTATCAAATATTTTGATGTAAATAGTGGTAATAATTTAATATTTCCTAAGTATCTGCAACTTCCGCCATTAAAAAGGGGGCGTGGCCCACGTCATGTAAAAAATAGGCTGAGCGATTTGCATGACCTGTTGCAAACACGTAGAAACAGGGCGTCTTTCGTAAAACACATATCGCTGTGAAAATGGGCATACATGTAGATCAATGCATGCCCCAGATGCATAAAAAATTTGGTAGTGACATATCTTTTGCTTCAACTTAATTTTAATGGTGGAAGCAGACCTGTTTACTCTTACGATTTTGGCATACAATGTACAATTTTGAGATGTCTTTTACGAATGTACGCAGAGACCCGCCAAAACTACGATTTTCAGAGGCCAAGTAAAATAAAAAATTTCCGATACAATTTTTTTTTTTTTTTTTTTTTCCCATTTGTTGAAGTTTTAGCCCTTTCTAATAAAAATCTACTGGTGAATTGAACCAGAAAAACGATTGGTTGTAATTTTTTTGTTTTAAAGTTGGGACCCTCCTTCTTTATATTATGTACGCACTGAGAGGGGTAGTAAAATAAAAAATTTCCGATACAATTTTTTTTTTTTTTTCCCATTTGTTGAAGTTTTAGCCCTTTCTAATAAAAATCTACTGGTGAATTGAACCAGAAAAACGATTGGTTGTAATCTTTTTGTTTTAAAGTTGGGACCATCCTTCATTATATTATGTACGCACTGAGAGGGGAGGTGGGGGGTTGTTGATTTAAGGACATTTGCAGCATACAGGACGCATGGGTAGGGGGTTGGTCGGAGTGTCAAAGGCTATAAAAATATCTCCGCAACGTATCATATTGATGGTGATGATTTTCATACTGATGCTTTGCATGTCACAGTGAACTATTTAGCTGCGTCATCGGTAAAAGGTATACTAGACGCCCTAGCGACCGCTTCACCACCACCCCCCTTTAACTGCTACCAAGCGTGTGACATAGTTTTGTTCCCTTGAACCGCGGCGATTGTGAAAACGGAGAAAACTAAAGACGCGATGGTTTTTACAATAAAATACATGACCCCACTGTTCTGCACTGGAACGTTGGATGTGGACATATTTTATAAGAGCTAGTCAGCGGCATTAAAAAAAAATATTGGTAGAACTCGCAAAGCAGCTCTTCACCCTCAGCAATCGTAATACGTCATTTTGGTATCAGTACTAATACTACCCCCCCATCCCACCCTTTTATTAACGGAAAAAATCAGGCGACGGCCCAATTTTTTTCCCCAGTAATGAGGGGGGTGGTTCTGTCCGGTGGAAATAATGCATGGAAAGACGCATTACTGGACTACAGTGTGTTATCACTATGTTATGTTCAATTTTACAACTACAGGGATCTCTTTATGAAAAACACAAAGCATTAGTAGCTTAAAGGAGTAGGCCTATATGCTTACTGCGAAATATTGTGGTAATAGTTTTATAGCCTTAATAATAATAATAATAATAATAATAAAAGGCCTAATTAGAATTCACTGATTTCACGGATTTTCAGATGAAACTTGGCTTTATAAGAGACTGTTAGGATAATATAGTATGCATAAATGTAGGTGCACTCTATTGACACCCACGACCCCCCCCCCCCCCCCCCCTCAATCAAATCTGTCGTACGCATCCTCAGTGCGTACGTAATAGTTAGATGGCCCTTTTGCCCTTTGTTTGCCGTAATAGTTAGATGGCCCTTTGTTTTACGTAATAGTTGGATGGCCCTTTGTTTTACGTAATAGTTAGATGGCCCTTTGTTTGACGTAATAGTTCGAATTTGGCTACATAGACGGGTGTGCACATTGCCTGATTTTAATGTCACCATTAACAGACCTGTTGACTCTTACAATTTGTGCGTACAATGTACAATTTTCAGATGTACACATTATATAAACTGTATGTTTATTTTTTACTCTTAAGATAATGAATTGAATGACTTTGTTATGACATTGTACGATTTTAAGAGTTTGAGGGTAAACAGGTCTGTGGAAGTTGCCTTATATTCACCAAGGATTTTCTCAAAGCTGACTGATTGTAAATGAAATTGATTAAAATGTAGGCCAAGATGTCCTCTATAGCGAAAGGCCGGAAGAGGGACACAATTCTGGGATATACTAATTATTTTATGAATGCAATAGTTCCAACATCAAAAAATTAAAAACCTAACCCCTATTTTTCATACAAATTTTTTAGTAGTCTCCCTTGCTTCATCAAAGTACCTACCTTGTTCTTTTTTTTTTAGATAGTATAGGCATAGGCTATGCCATAGGCATAGGCATAGGGCTTGAGAAAAACAATTATATTGATATCAAATTTATGGTTGTAGGCATTGAAGCCATGTAGTAGGTCAATTCTAATTTATTCTAAAGTTTAAAATAAAGAAAGATGAATAATTTAGTCTGGGACTGAGATGATTCTGTTGATTGAGACTAGGACAATTGAGACATATGTACAATTACAATATAATTTATAAGAAAATATAATCATGATTAGAATAACTGGGCAGCATAATTTTTTTTTTTCCGTTTGTTGAAGTTTTAGCCCTTTCTAATAAAAATCTACTGGTGAATTGAACCAGAAAAACGATTGGTTGTAATTTTTTTGTTTTAAAGTTGGGACCATCCTTCATTATATTATGTACGCACTGAGAGGGGAGGTGGGGGGTTGTTGATTTAAGGACATTTGCAGCATACAGGACGCATGGGTAGGGGGTTGCTTCTTTCTAATTTTCAAGCTTTTATTTTAATAAACAATGGTATCCATGGAGGAAATGTAATCATCATACCCAAGTTCAAGTACTCACTGTTTTTGAAACTTTTTGAAAAATTTATTTGCCTATTCTTTTAGATAATTGTATGCTTTAAATTTAAACAGTGATTATCATGAAAATTGTGACTGGTGGAGAAATAATGTATGAGATATTAAATAGTAGACTAAATTCAACTTGATATATATTTTTGGCTAATCCTAGTTACGATTGCCATGACTTATTTTCCAGGGAGTGACTTCCCTTTGTTTATTTTTACTAAATTATTTTAGGGATCGATTTAGGGTTCAGGTTAGGCATAGGGATCGATTTCAGGTTCAGGATGGCATAGGGATCGATTTAGGGTTTCAGGTTAGGCATAGGGATAGATTTAGGGTTCAGGTTAGGCATATGGATAGATGACTTCACATGATGTGTTAACCAAGATGGCGGCCATTGAGAAAATCGTGGCAATCATAGTCAAAATTTACCATATTTTCCCCAGTTCTCTGACCAAAATCCAGTTATGATTTAATTTTTTCTATTACTGATATCTCACTTACTTAAGTTTCTTTGTCGGGGGCAAGCAATATTTCTAGTTTTATATTTTAGAATATTTTTACTAGAATAAGATATGTAAATTGATTTTAGCCCTCTTTCTTTCATCATATTTAGGTCAGGTATTTCCAATGAAATTGTTTTGGGTGATATTTGTTCCAAATGAACCACATTCCCTCCTATCAAGACTCAACATATGCGATCCATCAGCGATATGAGGATACATCCCTGGTTATCTTTCATCAAATCCAAAAGAATAGGCCGAAGGGATCTTCCAATGGCCCACAGGGCAATGCGCGTTTAAGACCACAACCAGGAGGTGGCCTGGTTCAAGATCATCCATTATATGCTGTAAAGTCTCCACAAAGAGGGGGTGGATTTGTTCGTGTAGAAAACCCTTCAAAAGGTGCTAAGTCTCCGGAGCAACATCCTCCACAGAGCAAGGTCTGCGAGATTTCTTAAAGTGCATCATTGCAGGTTAAAATAAAAGAGTGCCTGTGATATAATTTGAAAAAATCCTTTTAACATAGGCACTAGAGTTTACTGTAAATAGACTAATGTAGTTTGCGGGTATTTCAAATTATAAATGTTTGACATATTTTTGTATTATATTTCTTTGCTAGTATCTATTTAATTTTGATTTTTAGAAATTGTGCATTTAAGATTATTATCCAGGAGGTTACTCTTAATATTAAGTTATTTAAAAATTGCTTTTTTTATAAAAAGAGTAGGATAATTTAGATTTTTTAATTAATAAAATTCACACAATTTTTAATTTAGTGCATTAATTTGTTTTTATAAATCTCTTGTACTTTAGCGGGTAGATTTATCTCTAACAAATAACTTTAATGGGTAGATTTTTGCATTTACTTCTTGGCATTAGACCTCATAATTATACTAGAGTCTAGACTTAAACAAAATAGATATTATTCTTTCCTCTCTTTAAACCTAGCTGTGAAAAATCTTAACACTGGCTAATTATTGATTTTGTACAATTTAAAAAATGAATATTCTTTTATTTTAAATTTATGGAGAGTCATAGACAGCAAGATTAAAAAAAAAAAGTACTCTTCAGATATTATAGAGACAATTTTTGTATCTATAAGACCAATTTTAAGTGATAGAAATTTTAAACAAAAATAAAACAGGTTATATTTTAAACAATTTGGCCTTAATAATCATAATAAAAATATTGCTTTGAAAATATTTAACATATTTCTCATATATGTTGATTAATAAACTCAATCATTTACATTTCAGGAACGGCACAAGTGATAAGTTCCTAAATTGGCTTCAAGGGTTTCATGATCTCATATACATTGCTAATCTTTGCACTCAAGACTTTGAAGAAATAATGTGAATGAACAAAATAAGTTTCAATTTTACAGTTTAACAAGAAGGAACAAGAATGGAGCTTCACCCTTTTCTAGACAACAACGTCCGTCCATCCTCCCACTGGTGGTACGTCCTTCCTGTTGTTGGTGAAAGTCCCTCTATGAGAGTGGGTCATTCTGCCACTCTTGTCCCGGCCCTGCATGCTAATGAGGGAGATAAAGTTTTTGTTATAGGAGGAGCTAACCCAGGGCAGATTTTCACAGAAGTTCATATATTGGATCTGAAAGCAAGAACTTGGGATACACTGGAGGCCACAGGTTTCCGTGGCCGATATGAGCATGCTGCCTTCTGTGTGAGCAACCACCCAGGTCAGCTGTTTGTGTTTGGCGGTGCCACCCAGACCGGCAGTCTGAATGATGTACAAAAACTCGACACAGGATCTGGCACGTGGACTGATGTTGAGATAAGGGGCACTCCGCCCTCTCCACGTACTCACCGCAGTTCGGTTGTTATTGGTTCTAAGGTATACTTTTACAGCGGTGGCCACAGTGGTCCGGACCCCGTGGGTGACAGACGAGTTCACTGCTTGGACACTGCAACAATATCATGGTCTACCTTAGCCCCAGCAGGAGACTCCCCGAAACCTCGCCATGGACACGTCATGGTTGCTTTGAAAAATAAGATATACCTCCATGGGGGGATGGCAGGATCAACATTCTACGATGATCTTTTTATATTGGACCTGGATCGCAACTCATGGTCCGCTGTGAAAAAGAAGAAAACATCTCCTCCTGCTCGGGCTGCCCATGAAGCTGTCATCATCAATAAGGAGCTCATTCTGTTTGGTGGCATGAATAAAGTAGGGGCTCTAGATGATGCTTTTAAATTTAATACTGGTAAGTATCAGGAATATTATTAAGAGACCCTTCCTAAGTGTAAATTTAATATTTTTTTATATTTATTTTTTTAGTAAATCATAACTGATGAGGAATTGGGTGACTTGAATGAAGTCTGATGATATTTATTAATATTTCATCTTAAAACTTAATTCTTAAGTATAATTTGTCTTTAGTCCTTTGCCTGTTTCCAAGGCATTGTAGTTCTTGAATGACTCTGATCTTGCAAATTTTCAGTTTTTAATTTCTTGATATGATGCATTTTATCTCCAAAAAATGCTGTCAGTCCGTTTGAGTTTTTATGGGATCCCCTCCCACCCCCCCTCCCAACCCCCCTCCCAACCCCCTACTCTCCCCCTTTCACCCCGAAATTGCTTCACTTTTAAAAGTAAAAACATTTTTCAGAAACCAGCACATGGTCAAAACTTGAATTTGAAGGGCCTGCACCGCCAAACCGTTTAGACTTTGCCATGTGTGCGATAAAGCTCTCTGTACCTGTTGCGTGTGCCCAATCACCAGCAGGAACTGAGCCTGATCTCTCCAACACCAGCATGCAGGTGAAACAAGTTCTTGAACGAGAGCTGAAGCCAGGCAGTGCAAGTTCAAGGGATTCTCTCTCTGACAACAGCAGCAGTGAGTTATTGCATTTCTGAGCAGCAGTGCCCCCCCACCCCCCATCAATCTTGCTTTTTCATTGTTGTTGCATGTTGCACTGTTCTTTATGTGTATTCATCCTAATCATAAGCAATGGTAGGTTGTATAATCTTTTCGTTTAGTTTTTGTAATGATAATTTAAAAGTAACTTGTTTAAAAAAGAAACTTTCAATGCTTATGTGTAACATAGTAATGGATTTTGCTGTCTGATGCATCCTTGAAAGCGTTTCACAATAACCCTGACATGTGGGAGAAGTCCGCATGGGATTGACAAGACTCGTGGCGCTCCTCCCTACTCAAAGGCTCAATGCAACATGAGACAAAAAGAACAACTTCTGCAAAGCACAAAGACAAGCCATAAAAGCCAGAGTTAACTCTGTACCTGGGGTTGTCCCATCCTCCCCCCTGAAAAAGGAACTGATCTTGCCAGACTGGGTGCGATAAACCATCTGCACACCCCAGTACAGATTCAGCCCCAGCAGCTATCTGATATTTTAAATGGTCGTGATCGATTTTCAAATGACAAACTAAAAATGCATATTTACATGTATTTCTTTATTATGCTCTCTCTATTTCTAACATTTTATTAATACGAATATTAATGAAGCGTTTTTCTAAACATTTTATACAAGTGTGTGTTCACCCATTTGAAAATGTATCCATTTTTTTCTCAGTTGACGAACCCTTGTATGCTCTTGAGCCAGATGGCACACAGGAACATCACATCGGCTCAGAACAGTGTCAAGTTGGAGGTGGGGATTGTAATGACAAGGCACAGTCCATTGAAAGGGAGGAAATCGCTCTCATTTTAATCAATGGTGGAATGGATACAGAAGGAGAAATCTTTGACGACACTCTAGTTTTGTGTTTGTGAATGGATGGATGAGATTTAAAGTCATTGCTGAGTGTTGAGATCTCTTTTGAGTTTGCCATCTATCATTAAATCCCCCGTTTGCAGAAGACAGATTTTAACAAATAACCACCGAAGGTCAGGCTTATTCACGTTTTTCAACTCTCATTTAGTAGAATGAGGAAGAAAATGTGATCATTTTCAGGACTAACAACCAAGAGATTATGGTAAATTTTATTTAACCTAGATATGCCTGCAATTTGTTCTGGGCTGTAAGAAACTTGTACAACTTCTGCAAAATAATTGGAATTTAGTCAGCTATGACAAGAAACAAGAAAGTCACACTTCAAGACAATCTCCAAATCCATGGTTGTATCCAACTAGTAAACAGTGGCACAACTAGGAAATTTTGCGGCTTAATCAAATCAAGTTGTTAATTTAGCATTGTCAAAAAAAAAAAGTATTTTCAAATGTCTCATACGATTTAAATGTGTGTCTACCTGCCCTTCTTAAAGTTGGAGCCAAATCAAATCAGTAGTCAAGGGACTCAATTTTAACTCAATTTTAAATTGTTGTCTATATCAAGTTATTTTATATGCAAACAGTAGATTGCCATGCTTGCTTGACTTACAGTAATATTTCTTGGGCAATGCCATAATATTATTTTAAGAACCACAGCCATCAAGTATCTAACAGTTAGCTACACTGTCAAGTTTCTTCTGGCACATTGTTTAAGTTGATAATTTTGCATTTTTAAAATGTTTTTTTATGGTACTTTATTGAAAGAACAAAGTGAACAATTTTTTGCTGTAATTTTTGTTCTCAGTCCTTGCACAATTTATTAATTTAGTGACATGACAATTTGAATAATCAATTTTCTATAACAATTGTCAGTTTTTTAATTTAATGATTATTTATTATTTTTAAATTTGATTTTCTGCAAAGAATATTATAATAATTCAATACATGAATAATAATGAAAATAAATGTTTAAACTATCAAGAAGTATACTATACAAACAGTTGTTCACTCAAAAGTCTCCTTGATTTCATTTAAATTTCAAGGTTAGGTAAGTAGAGGTGTAACTTTATTTGTTTGTTTGAGCACTGCCTATGCAATAGATTATAGTTTTCCCAGCTTTCATGATGCTGAAATATTTATTTAGCTCCTTGTGATCTCAGACTGTATATTAGCATTAGCTGCCTTTTAATTTGTATGTTGTTTCATTGTTATTGTTTACAGTTTGTACATTACAATGATCTGTTGCAGTTAGTCTATATTACGTGCTTCTATTTTGGATTCATAGGTAGCAGAAGCTCTAATAGATTTTATTTTATTTTACTTAATTTACATGTTTTTAATAATTGTAAAGCGCTTAGAGCTTTAAGGTAAGCGCTATATAAAAATGCCTAAATAAATAATAGATATTGATAACTAATGCACCCTTAGCCTAAAGAAGCACATTTTAAAATATTAATTGATGAACACCATAATTCAACAGAGGGTATAATTATAATGCAGTCAAGTATGAACAATGATGAAACAAGCTCAGAAGATGGTGAACCTTGAGTTAACTTTGAAATGATTATTTTCTCTTCAGTTAAGCTACACCATGCCTTGTTAGCCATTTATCCTCTCTTGTAAACTTGAACTGCATTCCATAACCACATTAACTATATGTGTGTAGTTTTAACAGTTAATTTAAAAAAATAATTTTTAGATTAGTGTCCTTCAATCTAAAGCATAATTTGTTAACAATTATCCAACTTCACTTTTGGACAAAAAGACAATTAACAAGATCCCTAAATAATAATAAATAAGAGATCACTTAGTGTGTATGGTATCATCATCAGAGGCACTCTGACCTGATCACCACATACATTCATTTGGATCGCTTCAAGGCTTTCCGCCTCCATGACGTAAGTCCTTCACTTCATGGTCGATCCCTCTTGGTCAATTGATGAGGCGCCTGCCTGAAGATCATTTTTGCTGCTCTACAATCTAGCATTCTCGCAAGGTGTCCTGTTCAGCACAGTCCACCTTTTTTAATTGTTGCAACTATGTGCGGATCTTCACTTAGTTTGCACGACTTTTACATCCATCACTGTCAAATGCTGGGCCGTACATTTTCCTGTCACATGTACTGAGCAGGTTCTTAACTTTTTTGTGTAAAAATTTGAATAAATCTGTTCATCAACTAACTGCCATTTAATGAATGATAAAATTATTTAAAAAATCCTCTGGACCAACCAGTTGTTATCTGCTACTGCATTAGGAAGTAGTTTGATAGTTATAAGTTATAGTTAAAGAACTAAGAAATAACAACACACTATACATTTGGCAACTATTTGTTAGATGAAAATAAAGTATGTGACAAAAAAAATTTCCATTTTAACTTCTAACACATTGCAACCACTAATACCGTAATAGTTCGTCTTCAATTGTTTCATAGATTTAACATTTTATTCAGATAATATTCAAGTAGCTTGACATATAATCAACTACAGAAGTAGTGCCTAGTATCACATTCTTTACTTGGTCCATCTATTGGGATGTTGGTATTATTTTGTACTTACATGCAGTGATCAAAACAAAAGACACAATCCAATCGCACCATGTATTTTTTGTGTGGATCCATGTATTATAATTATTGTAAACAGTAGGATTATAGTTGCTGTTATTATTTTTCTGTATGAAATCTTCCCGACTGTGGCGTCACTTAAGAAACCCTGCCGTTTTTAATGCTTGCCTTTGTAAATTTTTGCTAAAACCTTGCCAGGGAATTTTTAATGGAGCAAGCTTAAAACAAACTGATATTTTTTCATATGTACTTGGTTCGTAGCAGGGAGGAATAAAATGTAATATTTCTTTACATTTTCATGGTTACTCTAAATCCACTAATTCAGTCTCTTATTCATATGTCTTTGGCATGGAATGTAAAAAAAAATATTGTTTGTTTTACACCAATGCAGAGTTGCCTTTTTAATTCCTTTGAAGCCTCAAATTTATTGACAGAAAGCTCAAGACTTGTAATTCTATTATTTGAATTACTGGTTTCTCCATTGTAAATAATTAACAGTTAAATTCATTTTGAATCTTAACTTTGAAATTAGGGAATCATTTTTGAAAAGCTGATGTGAACTGACCATAGTTATTAACACACACACACCCCCCTTCCCCCTCTTTTAAAACCACACAGACTGTGACTGGCCGCGCTGATCATTACAAATGCCTAGTTAGTCTCAAGATAATGAAATTCACTTTAGAAGTTTGGGTTGTGTTTTATTTTGTGTACAAGTGACATGTGTAAAGTTGAGCTTATCTGCCAATCTCACTGTGAGTAAAGCCTTTCATGTTAGTCCTTACATATTTGTTTTAGTAATGAGCAATATTGTAATGTTTACATTTTTAAATTCAAATGAAACATTTTCTGAACTCTGTTGCTAAAAGCCATTCCAATTAATTCAGATGATATTGTCAGAAAAGAATACTCTCCTCATAAATTTCTAAGTAATGTTATATTTCGAATAAAGTGTTTTAAATTTAAAAAGCATGAATAAGAGATTTCTATCTGGGTAATTTGTGTTGATGTCTTCAAATAATTCCGGCGTTGCTAATAAAGAATAGTATAAATCGAATGGGCAAAATGTGACATTTTCATGGTTATTATTTTTTGTTTGCATTAAAATATTATCAAAAGTATGGTTCAGAATGACAAATATAACCTTTCTTTGAGCCATAAAGATTTTTAAAAGGATCTTGCTATATGTGCTTATCCGTGTTGGCAGAGACAACTTGAATATTTTGATCATCCTTAAATTTCTAGAAATAAGAACAAAGATGAAATTTAAGATTTTGTAATGAACTCTTGAACTAAATATAATCAATAGGACAGTTAACTTAAAAGTTTACTTACAGTGTCAAGGTTGTAGATTTTGGTTTAGGATTATTGAGCTCTTAAAAACATCTCTAAAACTAAAACTCTTACAATCATTGACAAGAGATTTTCACTAGTAGTCTTTTATAAAACAAACAGACATGAAACCACTTCCTTTAGATAGTCCTACGATAGGTTAAGATAAGTTTGAAATGTATAAGAAATGTTTTCTTTTTAAAAGAATATCTGATTATCTTTGCTGTGAGCAAAATGAGAAATCATCTTCCAAACTGCATCCGTCCTGAGAATATTTAAAGGAAAAACGTTTTAAAAGAAATTGTCAGTTTGATTCCTGACAAAGAGATTCTGTGATTTTCTACATGTGCTGGTATCAATACGGTTTCATAACACTAGACGGTTGATCAAATTGGACCAATTTTTGGATTCACTCACATTTTTAACTTCATTCCATGATTCTTTATGCCACACGACCTCATTAAAAAATATTTATGAGTATCACGCCATGCTTTTATGTCAAATATTTCTAATTTAAATTCAATTTTATTTTGGAGGGACACTAAACGAGCTCCTGGGCATATTGCCAAGTTCTGCAAAATTTCCAGCATTTGATTTTTTACATACAAGTCTTGAAAAATCAGCTCTGTTAACCTAGGATTTTAAAAAAAAATTAACTTTCCTTCTCTTTGATTCTAACAGCTTTTATTTTTTTTAGGATTTTGTAATTGTGGAATGCTATAATTCTTTTCATTTGTATACCGGTATTTGCAATCTTTTAAATAAAAAATAGTACATTATAAACTTGTTGACTGGACAGTCATTTCTGGTTATTTTTACAAGTGTCATGTGTTTTGGTTGTTCTTTTTACCAAGTAATTTGAATAAATACTATTGCAAGCTCTTGCCATATCTGAGAAAATGGGAATCTCACATCACATAATGAATACTTTGGGACAATAGGGGTCAGTCTCTTATAAAACTTGATATTCTGTGGTAAATGGCTGGTTCAGTTAACATTACAACAAAATGTGTATGCATAGGTTTTGTTCAACAATACATGAAAAGCACAAACTTGGCTACTGTTAAAAATAATTTTAAAATAAATAAACAAGGTTTTCAGGTTATTTCACTCAAGTTTAATGTAAAACCACAAGCCATCCACACTGGTATGCATGAGTTAAGTTTACCAAATTTATGATAAGTTTAAGAGAACAACAAAGTAATGGATACCAGTAACACCTATAGTCTTTTTACAGGATGCAGAGTGTCTGAGCGGTTTAAACTGAGTCAATCCCAAGCTTGTGGACTGGAGCACAAGCAAAAACAGCACCGGGTGGGTGGGACTCATTAACCTTGGATGGCAACTCATCTAAGAGAAGGCAAACTCTGAAATCAAACCTGAAGATGGAGTCCCATAGTCATAGGCCGTATGGCATTGACACAAATGCAAAAATCCTGCAAAGTGGAACGCATAAAGAGCACAGTGAAACACAAAAAAAACACTGTGGGTTATTTACTGCATCCTTGTTTACTTCCAGTTGCCATGACTAAGTCTTGCCATTGGATCAAACAGACAAGGACGAGAGAGTAAGGCTGAGGACTTGAGCAACTCTTCCAGAATTAAAAAAAACAACAGCTCAAGTCAAGGCTACCACTCAAATTGAATTTTGCCTTGCTCATCTCAGCTTGCGAATCATGAACAATAATAAATAAACAAATAATATAGGATTGTGAGGTGTCACAAACATATGCTGCTTTGTGACATTAGACAAACATGCTGCTAAGTTCTACGATGACATCAGTAAGTTGATTTAGGAGGAATTCATCAATCATACCAAATGATTATTATATTATTCAAAATATTGTCACTATTGTGTTGATTAAGATTGTCATCCATTTCAATCAATAAAGTGTTTTTTCTCTAGCACAATGTCAACTGAATATGTCACCAATCAATTTACTGATTTCCCAATCTTTCACTGCTGTGTTGGTTGAGTATTTGAGATATAGCTTTGACCCTTGCCATGATCTTGGGGATGTGATCAGGATGCAGATAATCCCTGAACTTTTGTGTGAACTTGTCAGGGTGCCAGCGCACCTGCTGACTGCGCAGATACTTGCGGTAGGCAGGGCTCTCTTTATCAGAGAGATCACAAAACAAAACATCAATGAGGGTGGACACGTCTAAGCAAGGCCATGGTATACAACCAAAGGTCAATGTCCTGCCAGCCAAGTGGCCCAAAAGGTGCAAGAATTTACTCTCGTATCTCTGTTTCCTCAGCAGCAGTCTATCAGTTCTGTTCTCCAATTGGACAGGTTTGAAATTTTTCTTCATCTCCTCTCTAGCCTTTCTAAGTTTTTCATCATCGTCTTCTTGGCGAGATCTCTTCTTTCTTGTTGCCTCATCAGCTTCATTATCCACTTTATGTTTCTTGTCTCTCCAAAATCTATGATTATGACTGTTGCGTTGCTTTGAACTGAAGTCTTTTCGTATTCTCTCGGACCATTCATCAAAAGTTTCCGTTGTTCTTTCATGGGTATAATCTGAAAAATTTTGTTGCTCATATATTACACATAAAAGAGATTTTTTTAAATCATGAAAACAGTTACAAAAAAAGATTTTCCAATATGACCGTTTTAAGTTATACTTATACACATAAAAACAAGTAAAAAAAAGTCTGATAACATGCTGTACTTAAGGTTAAAATTAACAAAATATTAGGAATGATCCTGTTATTTTCCCCTACTTAAGTTGTGATTAGCTACAAAAAGTAAAAACTACATCAGAAATCAATAAAGCATGTTATTTTAGTTAAAAAGAATTCTTATTTAACCCATCTGGTAATAATGAGAAGAAAAAACAACATGATTGCTTGAGATATCTTTTCAGTACATCTACAACAGTGTTAAAAACATAATTTAATGAAGGAGGCAGACATAAACACAGTTACCTTCTCTGCTATCATACCGAGGCAGCTGTTCCTCATACTCAAATGTTACTTCGTCACTTAACTTCTGCCTCCATAATTCATCCTCTTCTTGTCTTCTTTTCTCTGCTTCAAACTCTGCCTCCTGAAATCATGTAATTATGTATATATTTTGATTAAAATAGTAATAAATCATTCTGAAAAAAACCCAGCACCACTTACTTCCTTAGTTATTTTTCAAAATTATAAGGATTTGATTGATATAAAATACATTAGAGAGCTTCATGTTGGTATAGGTTCATCTAAGCCAAGGGTCAGAAAACTTTTTTAAGTGAGGAGCCATTTTTATAGATTTTAACGACTAACAATTTTTTTTTAGCTTAAGGTATGGTGGAGTGTTTAAATTTCATTATATTTTAGTTAAAAAATGAGCCACAGCCATTATATTACTATTATTAAGGTCGTTAAATATAGTGCAGTACCCCAGCCAAGGGCTAGGCTCACTTATATAGCTCAGTACCCCAGCCTAGGGCTAAGCTCATTGTGCTTCACATAAAAATTTGCAATTACAGAAAATTATAAATTTAAAAAAAAAAAAAATTGGTAAAAGGCTTGACCTCACCCACCCAAGTACTATCTACCCCTATCTAGCCATGGACAGCACCCAGCAGCATCGAGCCTTGTTTATAAGTTGGAGGGAGGGGCGAGAATGAGTCGGTATAGTAGAGTTTAAAGAGATGGGTCTTGAGGGCAGTTTTGAATGCTGGGATGGTCAGTATATTGCGTATGTTTAATGGGAGAAAATTCTATTGTTTGAGGGCACAGAAAGAGAAATGGCTCCAGAGACACAGGTTACCAATTACTGATCTACTGTAAAATAAAAGATTTAATATTTAAAGAATATCATGGATAAAATATAGTGTTTAAACAAATCTTCGTGTTCTGTAATTTTTGTACAGTCTTTGCAGCTCATAACTACAAATAAGAAATTTCCTTACTGCAGCATTAATTAAGTCAGATAATACTTATATTACCTTCTTGGATGTAATAGTTGCAGATTTGATTAGTCTCTTCAATGCCCTTAACAAATCCTGACCAGTAGAACCTTCTTTGTTTTCTACATCTAGTCCCATTGGGTAGGCATCTATAAGGGGCATCACAATTTCAACCAAAGCTAAACAAAATGTATGAGAAGGAAAATCATATTTATTTCAGAGATAAGCTCACAGCATCTACTCTTAAAAATACAGTTGAGTTATGTTGAATGTTACCTAACAGGGTGCAAATAAAAACAAATGAAAAGAACTAACTTTCTCTTGCTAATCTAACATCTTCTTTCAAACCACGTTGCAATGCCACATGTAGAGGGAGGTTACCATCTTTGTCTTGTAAACTTGCATCACAGCCCAGCTTTAGCAAACTTCTGCAAGGAAAATTGAATAATGCAATCTCATTAACAGAATAAAACATTGAACATTGGATGCATAATTAAAAATGTGTGGAAGACTGCAAATTTAAGTATACTAGGTACTTTGACAAAAATTTTAAATATTGTCCTATTGCCATAAATCATAAATGAAGCATAATTTTAAAGGGCTAGCTATGAGCTTTGTAAAAACATCAATTTTATCTTCCTAGATTTTATAGCAGTGGAGTTATGATTATTATGGGTGAATTTTTTTTAAAGCCCCTTATTAATTTTTAAAAATTTGACTGCCATAAATTGGGACCAACTTTCCACCTTATTTTGCCCACAACTTTTTTTTACTTTTAAAAGATAATGCTATCAGATTTTCAGGAAATATTTTCATTGAACTACACAACAGAATAAACAATAAACCTGTTACATAAAATTAAGAATTTTTTTATTTTTGATAATTTTATTTGAAGGTTGATCAAAAAAATCCTGAAAAGAAAAATTGGAAAAGTTATTATTTATAGAGACAAAATTTACAAAAAAAAATACATGTCTTATAGGCTTCATTTAAAAAATTTAAAAAAAAAAAAAGGGTAAGTAGAAGTCTTCTAAAAAAAATTAAATTTAATGCATTAATTATAAAAAAATAAAATAATAAAATCCCCAATAATAATAAGACTAATATTAATAATATAAGAGGATATCAGTATGTCAGTATGTAATTAAAAGATAATGAGGATGCTATGAATGTCATTTTCTGGCTAGGCTGCTTTACAACATACATTCATACATCTTTGTCTTGTTGATGAATTCCATAATCTCCCTTCTTAAACTTTATCTTAAACAAAACAGGTAAACGTCATGGCTACATTTTTTTACATTAGCGGAGAAGGTAATCAATTTTTCTGAAGACCGTTTGCTGAGTTTGATAAAATAAAACAGTAGTACTAGTACAGAGAACTTTTCTGTGTTTCAAGTTCAAGGCATCCAATCCATTATCATTAATAATTATAACCCAAATTTACTAAATTAAGATCCAGTCGTTTTCACTTTTGAGCTTGGAATAATTATCATGTAATAAAATTAGTGAAAACTGAACTTAAATAAACTCACTTAAGCATTTCTGGTGAACCCTTGAGGGAGCAGTAATGTAAAATGTTTCTTCCATGACTAAACTGAACACTGCATATCTGAATATTGTGTGATGTAACAAATGCTTTCAATTTCTGCGGGCGATCATCTTTAATTAAGTTTTTAAGTTTCTTCGTGTTTCCCATTTCATCCAAACAAAAGAGGCAAGCGATAAGCAATTTCGCCGACTATCTTCATTGGCAGTTGTAGTACTATTGATATTGTTTGTCCGATACGTTTAGGTGTCTTTAATTAACGAAACACAGCGGACATAACCAAAGTTCAGAGTTTGCTTGCCCCCAAAGCATCTTAGTTTTTTTCATAGTTATAAGCCCAGTGGCACAAATGGGGAGGGGCGAAGTTATGAGCACCTCGGGTGAATTTTAGGTGCATCTAGGGGGTGGACGTTGCGACAGCTCCAGCGGCACTTTAGGGGAGGCGGTTAAATTGTTTTAAATTACATTAAAAATAAATTTTAGTGAAATTTGCTATTCCTTTCAATACTTTTGGCACAGTCATAATCGTAATAATTTTACCCTTAAAGGGGTCGTCCATTAATTACGTCAACAATTTTTCCGCAATTTTCGACCCCCTCCCTCCCCCTTGTCAACAATTGTCAAACTTTCGATGACACCCCCACCCCCCACCCCATTTAATAATAATAATTTTCATCCCCAAAGTCTCGAAGTGCGGTACAAACCACATTGAAGTACAAAATTCAACATTAAAAAACTACATACAAGAATACCCATTCTAAGTCTTTCATAGCTTGCAATCATAAACAACACAGGCCAATATACATCTAAAAGATAATAGCTAGATAGACAACATCACCCTAGCAGGTGTTTGCGAAAAAGATAAGTCTTCAAATCAGTTTTGAAATACTCCAGTGTCTGGATGTGTCTGATAGCGATAGGAAGAGTGTTCCAAATTGTTGGGCCAGCAAATGCGGAAGTGCGCCCTTCGTAAGTCCCAAGGTGAACACGTCAACATTTTATAACCCATCCCCACCCTTTTCCAAAAAAAAAAAAAAAAAAAAAAAAAAAAATATTTTTATTAAAAAAAAAAAAAAAAAAAAATTGTTCCAAATTGTTGGGCCAGAAAAGGCGGAAGGGCGCCCTTCTGAAGTCCCAAGGTGAACACGTTAACATTTTATAACCCATCCCCACCCTTTTCCAAAAAAAAAAAAAAAAAAAAAAAAAAGTGTATTTTTAATAACAGAAATTGTAGGAAAAACATTTCATTACATCTTTAGCTTGTTAATCAACAAGTTAAAAAGTTTTGGCACTTAAATTTTATGATGCAGAATCAATTAAAAGTTTGTTAAAGACTAAACAAAATTGTTTGTGGTAGTATAAATAGGATTATTGTCAGTATAGCTGACAATTATAGTATGGTTTCTAGCTGCTATTATCTTCCCATGGAGTAGCCAGGTGGTGCTCTGTCATAACAATGGGCATCAGGGACATCATTTGGGTAGGGCAGGGGGAATTTGCCCCCCCCCCCCCGATTTTGCTGGTTTTATTTAAATTGCTATGTACTGTGGCGCCTCCAATAATAAACAAAAAGCCGAACAAGTTTTGTTTCCCTCCCCTCCCCCTTCTCCTGAAAAAAAAACTGAAATGATGCCCCTGATGGGCATAATCTATAGTAGCTGATTTATCATTTTCATCTTGCGGAACTGATATACCTGACAAGTCAACATCATCCTATTCAGCATTTAAAAATCGAAGCATTGTCTGTGTGAGCAATAGTTGCCATAAGGTCTCTCTGTCTTTGAGTTGGTATAGTTTTTATTGTACACCGTGTACAATAATGTGTTATGTTATAGGGAGCTTGTTTACATAATATTTCTCGTGCGTGCCTCTGATTAACCCCGCATGAGACGCTGTGTTCACAAAGGGGTGTGGCTTAGGTCTTTGATGTATTCTTGTTTACGCCGCCAACGAATACAAATAATTCATCTGTTCCAAATAGTATTTGGTAGAATGATTGGGATTTTTCTCGAAATTTCATGTAGCTTGTAGAAGGCAGGGCTTAGGCGTCGGTAGACCCACCTATATAAGGGATTGACAGGCACGACGAGGGAGGGAAAGATTTCCGATATATTTTCTTAACATTATTTATTCCTTTGTGTATTTGTGTGCTCCTACTTATATGTGTTTATTTCGCATTATTTATTGGCATCATTATTTCTAATTGTATTAACTGTGTACCGGTACGAGATCTACAATACTGTAAGTTGAAGATTGTAATTTTATTTTATTTTATTTTGTAATTATCTTAAGACATAATAAATCTTAATTAATTGTAACTAGAAACTGTTTTGGGTCGTATCTTTAATATTGTTGATTATATGGTATCGTCCTTTGTTAGGCACTGTTTACAACGAGCCAATTAAAATTAAAATAGGAGATTAATTTCTCCCAATACAAGTCAGTGCGTAACAGTTAATAATTCTAGGGAGCGGATTAAGAGAAAAATGACAGGTGAAGAGATGTCAACTTTTGACTTCTCTTGCACTAAAAAAGTGTGCTAACATTATGACCAACCATCTGCCGTGCACAGAAAGACACACATTAAATAACTCTTATATTGTTAAAAGCCTAAACATATATGACTATTTACACACATTAAATTGTTGAAAATAATGTAAGAACAAGTCAATTTTTAAGATTATTATTTTTATAGGAAAAAAATGATTGTTGACGTCAACTAATCTAAACCTCTCTCCTTCCTCCTTGTCAACAACTGTCAAAAATTCCCACCCCTCATTTGTTGACGTTATTAATGGACGCCCCCATATTTGTTAGTGTTCAAATTCAACGTAAGAGCTGAAAGAGAGTGAATTTTAAAAAAAAATCCATAAAATTTTAACAATCCATACTATTGTTACTTCGATTAGGCTGCCTCATTTTAATGATTAATTTAAAAAAATCTGTAAAGCAAATAAAAAAATAATTTTTTACATTTCTACACTTACAATTTATCACCCATTTTTAACTCATTTGGATCACTCCAATTAAGCATGGAACAAGATTTGTCCATTATTGTTATTATTTGTTTATTTATCACTTTCAAAATATTTTACTAACATAAATGTTACAAAATTATGACCCAATTATTGACAGGGATGTTTACTAAGCTGTTGGATATAATGCTTCAAAAGACACAATAAATTAAAGTTCATTACTTTATCTCTCAGATAATGTATTTAATTTTTTTTTTAAAATGCAAGCTTGAATTTATCTGTAAATGAACAATATAAACCTTTATGTGCAAAGGAATGATCTGTTGTTGCATAATATTGCGGTAACGAAGTTAATGTAATTGTAATGAAATCTTCCTCATTTATTATTAAATCAGCATGGTGCATTATTTGATAGTGTATTAATCATACCACCGGCGCCGAAAGCCGTTGATGAGTAGACTTTGTTCTATGCAAAGATGTTGTTTCCAAAACCAGATGACTGGTGTTTAGAATGAAGTTCGAGGTCACTTAAATTATGCAGGTCTGTATAGCATATTGTTACGAGAATAAGCCCCATCGTATCCCCCCTCCACTCCCAAAGTCTCACAATTAAGTCTAGAAGACGGATGTTGAAAAAAAAAAGTTTTAAAAATGTATTTAGAAAAAATTGCCCGAAGCTTTAAGAATGCGGCTTATAATCAAGAGCCGTCTATACCAGAAAAATTAAGTTATAAAATGTCTTGTTTCTTCATAACTTTTTATAGTTTGAAGATTGAACCACCCCTTTCTAATCACCGCATATACAGAAGGCATGGGAACGCAATCGTTTTCCAGTGTTTTTAATGCACATTTTTTATGTTATGCAATTTTTAAATAAAATAATAATAATCATTATATATTTTTTTTTAAAAATTAGGCTACAAGGGACAGTTCGGATAATTGACGTTTAAGACAAATGATGTTCGGAAAATCAAATCTTCACTTAATTTATTTTCACTCTTTTTTGGGGGGTTGGATGTGGGAAGGAAATTTCGGAGTTCACCCCGGTCAGAGACGAATCCGAACAATTGTGTTTCTCGCGTTAAATATGTCATTATCTGATCGAAACTGAACTACCAACTGACAAGTCCTATTCCAAGAAAAGCGTGAACTTTAATTTAAGATAACTATCATATCATATTATTTATTTAGGCATTTTTATATAGTGCTTACCATAAAGCTCTAAGCGCTTTACAATTATTAAAAACATGTAAACTAAGTAAAATAAAAATGAGACACTAGGATAGTAACTACTATACTATAGAAACAATGAAAATGGCTATAAAACGCGGACACTTTGACACGTTTTGGCCTATACTTCAGGATCAACCCGAAACAGAAAATGAGGCAGGGCAAGGAGGATGCATCACAGGTCATAGGCGGACCTAAACAGATGAGTTTTAAGGGACTTTTTGAAAATGGACGAGGTTTCACAATGACGGCTATGGAAGGGGAGCTGGTTCCAATATTACAATAATTCAAGCACATAGCGCAGCTCACTACAGGAACACAATAAAATCTTCTTACTTAATGATTGGACAGCAACTGCCAAAGGAATAGCACAGACTCTCTACGCTACGTCACATAAAATCACGCCACGAAAAGTCACAAGCCTCATATTGACAGTATTTACTATTAATAACGTTTATCATCGAAACTTAAACTCAAGGCACACCGCAAACTATAAAACACCTTAGATGGTGCACAACTCACGGTGTTAAATCGATAACCATTAAATTACCAAATAAACATATTTAATTTAAGCCCCATTGAAAAAAATGACTTGTCCCCAATTGAATTTTCAAATGAAACAAAATTTGACAAAATGGACGCGTTTGAAACTATCTGGTCTGGCGCGGTAAATAAGTTTTATAAACAAGGGAGACAACTCCCCCAAAACAAACACAGTTTTGCTTAATATCAACATCCGGTTACATTTCGCAATAGTATAATGGGGAGTATCTGGAATGTTATTCTCATTTCTACATTGAAGAAACGTGCTTCATCTTGAAATCAGTGGACATAAATAGCTTTTACACTTATTCCACTGAGAAACAATTAAAACTGTCGTTTATGTTAAAAATGGGATTTACACTTCCTACATTTGCGAGACATCTACCAAAATCCAAAAGTGACTTAAGTGCGTTCTGTTTTTTGTTAGCAGCCATTCACAGTATAGGGTTATTTGAACTCCTGGTAGTGTTACCTTCCATTTATTCCACAACGACTCATGCATCAGATGAAAGCGGTTTCTCGCTGTATTATTTTCACGTCTTCATGGGTGTGTTCTTTTATACAAATGTGATCTTGAATTTGTATAAAGTTATGACAACAAATACCAGTACAAGAGGCAAAGTTTTGCCATCAATACTTCGTCCTGGTTGGCGCTTCTGCTCAGTTTGTGAAAGTAATTCACCACCAAGATCTTTTCACTGCTTTGTCTGTAAAAGCTGTATACTAAAGCGGGATCATCACTGCACATTTACAGGAAACTGCATTGGGCTATACAATCACCGTTACTACATTGGTCTAGTATTTTATATGTGTCTAGCAGCAGGTTATTCATGTTTTCTGAATTTTGACTTCATGTATCATCTCTTTGGGAGCACCTCGATTAAATCACTACTGACAGTACTGTTTCCAATGGTATCCTGGATATTTTTTCACACTGATGCCATGACTAGCTTTCAAGTTCTAATGACATCTCTTTGCATTGTGGGATTCTTCCTGTGTGGAGGTTTGCTGGCATATCACTTAACAAATGCCTTGAAAGGCCAGATAGTTTATGAGCGAACATATAATATTGACACTTATGACTTGGGATGGAAAGCTAATGTTTCCCTTTTACTAGGCACACAATGGAAGTTAGCTTGGCTTTTCCCTTTTATACAGTCACCCATTCCCTGTGATGGTCTTGAATTTATGACTAAACAGAATTATGAGTCTCTGAAAACAATGTAATGCAAGATAAAACACAAATTTTTCTTAACTTAATTTTTTAAATTGTTAATATTTTGTTATTGTCATTTAGCTTGAAAATCAATCGCCAAGACCAAAACCATATTTAGAATATGTGTTTCTTCGCCCACTGCTTTAAGAAATTATATTTTAAAAAAAAACAGTGGATAAAATATTATTTTATATGTGTTTTATTCTTTTACATTGAATGAAAATTACTTAAATCTCTTTATTCTTGTATACTTCATTATTTTACCCATAATATGTTTTTATTTTCATACAAATATTAATGTTTTGGATTTACATTCAACTGTTATTGTTTCAAGGTTGCTTGATTAATATTTTGATATGAAACTATCTGCTCAATTAGGGTGCAAAGTTGTCTGAAGACTGTGAAACTGAATGTATATTTTGAGCTGTCATTGAAAGCTATTCATTTAAATACATTTTTGACTTTGATATAAAGCTTCCTTTCTGTTATGACTAAGGTCTATTGTGACATACAAAAGTTAATTTATAATCAAGCTAGAACAAAAATTGTCTTTATTTTTCACCTGCAAGTGGTTCAATTTTTAAAAACTTAATTGTGTAATTCATTAGCTAAAATCTTCTGTAAGTACCTGTAAGTCCCACAAGTGTAGACAAAATTATGAGTGATATGTTCTTTTTCGTTGTAAAGTGATATTCAAATAGTACACTATAAAAAGTTTATGAAAAGATGGACATCTTATGTGAATAAATTGAATTTGCCAATAATAAGCTTTTTCGTTCTATTTATTACTATGTAACATTTACATAATGACTGCATCTTTTGGACTAAACATTGTATGAAGGGCATCGACAAATTTGGACAAAACATTGTATGAAGGGCATCGACAAATCCATTTGTCTGTTTGGACTCGCCAAAATGTTTTCAGATGTTGACCTTTCTTATTTGAATTTTTTTCAGAATCATCCCTATGGTTTTGTTAAAATTTTTGAAAGCCATTAAAAATATATTTCCTTTTGACACTGTAGTAAGAAATACGAATGTTTAAGTTCATTTATTTGAAGGAATCCAAGACTATATGACTAATTTTGAATTTTATTTGTTACTACTTATCTTCACAAATCAGTTTTTGATTTGATCCATTTGATTAAAACTTAAGAAATCAAAAATTGCATTAGACTTAAATTATTTGATTCTTCATAATTATCTGCTTCAAATTTTATCTAAAAAAAAAAAGAAAAAAAGGTTGTTCATCCATAATGTTTTTAAAAGAGATGAATCCTTGCCCACTGATCAACAGAGTTTTTAATTTCTAACATGGGCTTGTTCCGATGGGCATGCATTATCAAATCTGTCCTTAGGGCATGCCTTGTCAGATCCATCGTTGAGCATGTCTTGTCAAATCTTTTGTTGAGCATGGCTTGTCAAATCTGTTGTTGAGCATGTCTTGTCAAATCTGTCATTGATTTGAGCATGGCTTGTCAAATCTGTTGTTGAGCAGGGCTTGTCAAATCTGTTGTTGAGCATGGCTTGTCAAATCTATACACTGGTGTTCGTTTCATTTCATTTTAATGTAGCGCTGGTCTTCTGTGCAGAAATTTATTGGGTTTCTTGTTAAAAATATGTGTTTCAACTTTGGTCTATTTCAAAGTGGAATTGTGATTGTCACCTGGCTCTTAATGCAGGTAGTATGTAAAATATCCCCTGCCTTCATGGGCGCCCGCAAGGGGGCTTGCCCCCCCCCCCCCCC